GTAAGGGGGCGAAGGTCAAGCTCCAAAATAATTAAGTCAACTATATGCTTTGTAGATTACCTGGGAACCTACATTTTAACCAAATACCACCTGGGACTGAGTCTGAATAATAAAGACAATTTAAGTGGGGAAGTGTGGTATGTTGCAGTCTTCAGTATGTGTCCATCCTAAATATGTGCAAAAGCTTCAAAAATGTTTCAAAGGTGTAGGAATCTAATTTACTGAAGTTCCAGTATGTGCTACAAATTGTACACATTAATCACATCATTTCATGTAATCACCCCAAATGCCTTGTGGAATGGGATGATTATTACAAACTGTATACTTTAATCACATTATTTCACTTAATCCTCCGAAATGCCTTGTGGAAAGGGATGATTATTCCCATATGAATGAATACACTGAAAACTGTGTAGCCACAGTCACACACTTAGAAAATGAATGAGTCGAGAATCGAATCCAATCTGTCTGACCTCAGAGCTTATTTGCTCTTTCAATTACATCACACAATTTTTTATATCTTCAAGGGATGGTACTAAATTCTACTTTATTTCTCATTGATCTCTATTTGAAAATAGTTTTTAAAGCACTTCGCTTTTCTCTGTTTCCAGAATCTTATTCATTATTAACTATTTTATGGAAGCAAACATTTATACAGTAGAAATGTGACATTTTAAAAAGCCCTTCAGTTAATCTTTCTGAATTTCAATCATGCTCTCCCAATTGCCTGTGATTCCAAATCTGTGGTTTCTTACAGAAGAGATTACATGTCGGAATGCCATGGCTTTGAAAATAAAAGGGACAGAAAAACAAATCTCACCTTAAATCTACACTTTATAATTGAATCACAGCAAAAGAAACCATACATTTGTTTAGTGTGTTAGCTTCAATGTAATGGATAATGTTTTAATCATTCTAACAATGTTTAAGCTCCTTGTAAACCAATACCACTAAACACATATTTATCTCCCATGACAGTTAAAACAGTAAACTACACATGGAAAGTACTCAGTGCTGGTTAAATGAATGAAAGGAGCAGAAAAAAATCTGGAACGCCATAAATTACACTGAATATTTTATAAAAGTAAATTACCAACCACATATTAATTACTTTCCATATTTGGTGACATACAGTGGCAGCAGCAGTAGGCACTGCAGAGACACTCAGTGCTCATACTGAGGATTATGTATGCACGGTAATGCCCAACTTCAACCTATTCACTGTTCTAAGGAGGTGATACATTTGGAACATTCATTTGAAAGAGATAAAGGCAGCCAGGAAAGGGAACTAACAGAAGGACCAAAATGAACTCTGAAGAGGGTTCAGTATTAAAATAATTTGAGATGTATTCAAATATTTTCACTCACTATAAGGAGGTATCTATATGAAAATTAATACTGAAAAACAAGAGACCACCACCACCTTAAATTTACATATCAAACAAGGCCAGAACATTTGTACAACTGCTAATGAAACATCTGATATTGACAGAAAATACTATGAAGGAAGATTAAAAGACAACAAATCTAAGTTTGAAAATACAGAAATAAAGAACTCTAGAAAGAAAACAATCTGTTTTAAGGATCTGGTTATACTTCACTGCCATTCAAAGCAACTGTGGAATGTTTTACCTAATCGTCATGGGCAGGAGATACAAGAAGAGTAAGTTGTATCCAGGCCCTTATACTTCTAAAGTGACCATCGTTAAAACACGTACATAGTTCCATAAAAGCAGAACTTCAGAACAAATTATTGCAAAAAAATGTTTTGCCTTTGCTTTTTAGGGGGAAAAAAACAACTGGAAATTTCTAGACTAGTCAAGTTCCACTTTGATTTACATGTAAATAAAAGCATAATGTAAAAATATAAATGACTTAAAACCTTATTGATACTTCACTATTTTGAGAATTCTACAGGTTAAAAAAACAAATGTCTGTGGGAAATAAAAATATTAACCATTCACATATTACCCAATTAGATAATTATCAAGTCACAATACAGAATTAAGAGACTATTCAAAATGTGCAGTCATTGCCCAACCCCACACGGCACATAAAAAGGAATGCAGCAGTCTAAATGCCCCCACAAATATCTAGACAAATTCTCCACCTACGAGTTAATGTATAAGGAACAATTCTTTTCTAAAAGCAGCATTACAAAACTGACATTTCCATGGGTCTTTTAATTTACAAACCAGGAATCATAGTAAAACCAGAGACAGGCAAGGACGTGGGTGAGCATTAATATAATCATTTAGAAACCCTCTAAAAATGTATTTGATTCTACACTGTGTTCTCAAATGCAAATTCAACATGTAAAGCTTTATATACCTGACTCAATCATATGTAAAGTGCCTTTATCCTCTTAATATTCAGGCTGACTTCCTAATTCTAGATAAATACCTGGAAATGGCTTAAAAATATTAAATATATAAATCAGACTTGTAATTTAGCAGATATGTTTGCTTACACATTTTCTTGACATCAAAAGTGAGAAAACAAAAGGTAATGCGGTTATGCCATAACTAAGGAATCTCATCCCAATCTCCATTAGCACCCAAAATATTTACTGCTTTGTGGCTTTACTGCAACTGACACATTTAAGAAGAATTGCTCTGTGTCATGAATAAGCACAATATTTACACATAAACGTCATTCACTTTTAATCACAAAATTTTACTTGCATTCTGCATACCAATATACAATTTTAAATGATTTTTGTTATATGTATAAACAGCACTAAAACCTAATAAATGCTTAAGTTTAATTTTTCTACCTAATTTGATAACATTGATCATTTAAAAAATAAGAGTACGTTTAGAAAAATTACTGCATTTGTTTATATGGTACGAATCCTTCAGAAGAATAATATTTGAGATCTGTTCTTTAAATGATCTATACATTAAACTCTGTGTCACCCTTCATAGTATACTTACTCAAAATAAATGACTAAAATAACACTAGCAATAAAATGTAATAACAGAAAATATAAAATCCCCTATTCACACATTTCTGAGTTAATTATCAAAATGGCAAAGAGTCTGGATGGTTTTTTCACTCAGAGGATAAAACTGTGTAGCAGGGAATACGTTCATATCTTAAGCTCCTGCTACATAACAAGTGCCTGGCTTGGTCTGATGCAAAATACAACTGAGAGCTAACAGAAAAGTGGAAGAAAAAGTCATGTATGAACAACTCTAATTCAGGAACTCTGTGGTAGATGCCAAAAAATAACACAGGAAAGGAGCCCCAGGAATGTGGATGAAAAAGACACTGGATCCAGCTAAAAGAAGTGAAGGAAGTGTGCCCTCCTTCAAGAAGAAGGGAAAACAAACGAGTTCTCTACGTCTGTGTAGTGGTGAGAGACAGGGAGAAGTAACTTGTTCATTATTACTGCTCACGCTCCTTAACTGTTATGATTTCCTGAGCTACAGATGGGATGTCAAGGTACAAGGTTACAGATGGGAGAATGGGGCTGGGCAGGAAATCGACTCTGCAAAATTAAAATGGCTATGGAAAACTGAAGTGTGCTGAGCTCTAAAGAGCTGTGTCTAAAGATATAGCTGCACTTACCACTGACAAAAAGGCTCTTTTCTGTACAGTGTTAAAAGTCACTCTATCTACTGAGAGGGTCCAAACAAGACCTGGAGGTTTAAAGTAACTCAAGAACGTTAAAATCCTCAAAGCAACCTCACAATTGAAGGAAAAAGAAGAACTGATTTTAAAAAATCTCCAAAAAGCTCTCAGTAGTACTGAGTAAATCTTTGCTAGTTTAGAGCTTGATATATATATATAATTTAACCTTACACAAAAGAGAATTCTCTCCTCATGTCACCCAGGGGGATTGAACGCTCAGCAGGCTGTATACACAAGTCGCCCACAATAAGGGGTAATCTAAGGCATTCAGTTCCTAGCCACTATTAATTATATGGGATCCATTAGAATGGAAAAAAGTGTGGAAGCAGTAAAGGAAAACTGTGTAATTCTGATCTATAAAATTATTACTCAGAAAAATAACTTTTAAAGGCAAAATAATTTATTATTTCTAAGGGGCACTGCCATCCTGATATTTTTCATAGCATAGTTTCAATATAAATAATTTCAAGCAAATTAATTCTTTAAATATTAAACACAAGATGATCTCCCTCAACATGTGCATTGTAACTTTTAAAATATCTTATTTTAGGTTTTTAAAATATAAAAGCAATCCTTTAACATTAAAAAATTAACTGCCATTTAAAAAGAGATTTTATATTTACAACAGAGTGCTCTGTTTTTCCAATAACTATTAGGTAAATAAAACACTGGTAAACTTCTCAGTAAATTACCAAAGGCTGTAAAGGACTGTATTTCGGTCTATATTCAGCAAGAATACGAAGCAGATAATGAAATGCCAGTTGTACATTTTATACACCACCTTACATTTATGACAACTGTATATTAACACAGTATTTCTCTCTGCTTTCATGTATTTCCTTCAATATACCATGATAAAAACTTAGCCAGTAACAAACAATAAACAAAAAAGCGGGGCTGTCACACAGATCTAAAAAATCATTAGCAACATTTTCTCAGCTTTAAATGGAAAAAGTACTGGTATCTAGTAAATAAATCTTCCTCTGTCAAACAAGAAATCAAAAATGCATATATCCTAACAAAGATGGTCAAACAGGGCATGAACAGGTATTTCCAATTCCCATGATCACACACAGAAAATAATATATGTTGTTATAATTCCAATCACCGACAGAGCCGCAGTTCCATTTAACAGACAACTTCCAGTGTCTGACATCTGAAGGGAAAAGGCTGAAGACCCATGCTTTACCAGCTCTATGAATATGTCACAACTGCCAATAACAGATACAGCAGCATTTCATTTTACAGTGATGCCAGCAAAAATACAGTTCTGTATGCTTACACATATATGCCAACTTCAAACATTTTAACCGGAAGGCAAAAATAAATCACGGAAGGGGACAATAATATTTTAAGCCACTTACCTTTCGTCCATCACTTGCATGGCAATTCACATTTAGAGGAGTCAGTAAAGCCATTAGTTTTTCTTCATTACCACTCCTGTGAAAAGGTGTAAGTCACTTCTCTTAAAATTACAAAGCTTCTTACGAGTATTTATAGATATATATATATTTTTAAAGTGGAAAAGAATATGGGTTTCCTTCAATTTCTTTTATATGGTTCTGAATGAATCTCTTTTGCTATATTCAATTCAATTAATATATCCCTAATTAATTTCGGTTAATCATCATAGTTGTGCAGCTTAGCAAATGTGGCTTTCTATATTTTTATTGGTTTTATTTATCTGCATAAAGTCACCTCCCTAATTACAAACAAACTTTATTTCGATAAGTGATCTAAAACACAGGAGTTAAAAATACATACAAAATGCTGTAAAAAGCTAATCAATTAAATTATAAATACGCAAGAACAAAAGAAAATGGATGAGAACTTTAACATTTACTTTATGCCTCTCCTTCAAGCTTTTGAAAATTAGAAAAAAATTTAAAGTGAAATGAAAGTATAGATATTTAAATACTCCAAGAATACCATTGGAAAAGCTAGGCAACTGAGCTTTGCAGGTGCCTTAAGATATGCTCCAAATAAAATTAACATTACAATCATCACCATACTAAAGAATATCTCATTTCATACACTAATTATGTAAAATAAAGTGCACAAAGATTCAGTATAGGGTTTTATCTGCATTATTGCATAAAATCTAAGCAAGACAATAACATGTTATAATTTTTATAGTCCTCCACCTGCCCTCCCCCTATTCTCCCTTAAATGCATTATACTCACTTAAAATGAATGGAATCACTTACCTAGCAGCTTCTAGGAGTTCGTCTTTCTTGTATTCACCTAGATGATTGCAAAATATCATGCTGTTAGCATTTGGCAGAAGACAGATTAAGAAATGCAGTAGGCAGCAAATAGAGAATTAAATAGAGAAGAACAGAAAAAGATAGTCCACACCCCACTGGGTGATGGAGCCGTGACGTTAGCCAGCTTGTGAAGGCAGCATCACCAGTGCCTTGGAGACGGGCAGCAAATTGACGCAGCTTCTTGTCCAATCCTCAGATGAAATAGCTTTCTTCAGACAACCAATGAATGCTAAATCTCGTGTCCAGAAACACATTCCCTCTGATAACAGCATGCCAGCTGAAGACAATGTCCCCTCCCCCTCTTTTCTATTCAGCCTGTCACAGTATACTTGTGAAGCATAATACATTCTGAGACAAAAGCAAAATAATGTGGCTCTTTAAAGGTATGAATTACTTGTCTTCAAAAAATTCAATTTTATTTGTAAAGACATGGAGAGTTTAAAAAACCCATTAATTACCATTGCTGCGCTTTATAGCAGTAGGGGAAACAAATCAGAACCTTGAAGCCTTTGCCTCGATTAGGATAGGTCTGTAGACTAGCAATACGTGAACAATGTACCAAATGCTATAAACCTCTTGGAGGCAGTGCTCCAAAACCCAAAACAGTGAATACATTCTTAAATGCCGGTAATATTCTAACATGCTGTAAACTGTGCACTCGATACAAATTTAATACCAAATTTTAACAAACAAATCTTAAAGATATTTTTAAAAAGGAGGCTAGGATCTCTGAGAATGAGCAGATATCCAACTAATGTGATGTAAATATTTTCTCTTTATTCTATTTTTTAATGTATCACACACTGAACGGAGGTATATAATTTAAGACCTTCAATACAAACTTCCTCGAGTAGTCAAGATCTAACAAACAAGATTCTTTTGAAAGCTTAATTGGAGAACCAGGAATTTTAATACTATAGTATTTGTTCATTCAAAGATAAAAAGAATAGCCATGGCTATGATTCAGCTATAATACACTGACTCAGTTGGCTATACTATTAATGAAATAATTTTATTTTAATGCTGTTAAGAAATAAGCTTAAGTTATTTTTTAAAATCTTCCTTGTAGACACAGACTTCTTGGCATTTTGTTCCTGTTTTGTTACACAAGACAGAATACTGATGCAGGTACTATAAAGACAGCTCAGGGCCAGCAAGTGCACGTTTAAGTTCTATCCCCTATGTCTTGCTTCTCAAAGATTATGTTAAAAATCTGAAAACTAGAAGGAGTTATTTTCCAATAAGGAAGAAGTTTCTCAATATCTGTTCTTCCCCAAGGAAACTGCGCCACGAACGCCACGGGCTGCAAGCATGCTCAGGTGAGTCAGAACGCGTGTGTGATCACAGGTCTTCCTCATTCCCATACATTGTTCCTGATTCTTTGATTGACTGACAGTTTAAGATTTATACTATTATGCCCCTTTACAATAAAGTTCCTGGCTTCTCAAAGCCAAAAACCTATCTTTATTCAACATTTTAGTTGGCAATATGGCAGTTAGTGAGTCAATTTAAAAAGCTCCTTTGAGGAAAATGGCATAACCCATATCCTCAAATATCTTAACTATCAAGAGCAAAGTCAGTCAAATTATGAATTATCTATAAAAGTTATTCTTTCTGTCAGTCAATGAACATTTCTTTGAAAGGCCTATATGCTTGATTCAAAACCAAAACAGACACTATCGTCTCTGAACTCAAGGACCATTTGTCTATGAAGTGAGGTAGACAAGTAAACAAAAGATTACAGCAGAGTATAAAGAAAATCTAATAAAATGCTATAAAGAGCTAAAAGGCTAGTTTAAATGGGAATAATAAAAGACAGGTAATTATAGTTCAAGGAAGCCTTCCGTGACGGAAGAGGGGAAACTTGGGCAGAGTTCTGAGGGAAAAACAAGTGATCCTCGGGTGAAGAAGGACAGGGGAGAAGGAAGCAACCAAAGTAAGAAAAATTCGAAGGAAAACGGTAGCCCTGTAATCCTAAAACAAATGGCACTTGTGGGGGGAATGGGTAAGAACAAGGCAGAGAATGAGATGGTCCTCTCGGAAATCTGAACATTATTTCAAAAACAATGAAAACATTTCAAAAATTTTCAAAAATATTTAACAGGGGAGTATAAAATATACTGAAAAATCTGTGAGTTTTGAGATTATGTAAACTATTTCCACGCTCCACTCCACTGAACTTCTGTTGGGAAGGAACGTGGCCCAAGGCAAAGAGGATGCAGGTAGAGTGAGACAATGAACTCTGACACGGTTTACATTTGGACTACAAACACCCTGACGTACAGTACAAACTCATTGAAACTGGGCACTGAAAGTAGCTACTATTGAAATGTAAGTCATACTAAAGCATGACTCCAGTAAACTGGGTAATAAAACTGCACAGTATTTAGGATCTTGAAAGTTCAAATCAGTCTACCTGCATAAACTTCTCATTAAGTATAGCTCATTGATGTTTTCTCCAAAGGCACATTTTTGGCAAAAATGTTATTCCCTCATGGATAAGTTGATAATAAAACAAAGCTTTCAAAAAGAAAAGAGGTCTTACAAATGGCTTTTTATGGGTACTGTTAGAGATCCTGGAGCTTTAATCAGCTTTTCTGCAATACATTCCAACATCCACTATCTGGTGCCCAAGGACCACAATCCATAAACAGTTGAAGCTATTTTTCAAATGCCACATCGCAGCTACAACTAACAATGAATTTAGAGGTCCTTATACACTCTGACAACAAATCTGAACTACTTACTTATCAGCCAAACCTCAGGTTCTTTCCATTTTAGCTGAGAATCTGAAAATATTCTGGCTGAGACTATGATGCTCTGTGGAGCATTTATATTCTTTAATAACATTCAGATAAAGGCTAGCAATAGATCAGCCAGAAAGGAAACCAGGCAATTATAGTCAAGATAATAGCAGGCAGGAATGGAGAGATGGATGGCTTAAAATATTTTTCATTGATGAGAATAAAATAAGTAGGATAAAAAGAATAAGCAAGCCAAAAGTTTACTTTCAAAAGTCTGAACTGTTCTCATTAGTAAACTATTGATAGGACACATGTAAAGATACACACACAGGTTACACAGACAATGGGGCCTATGAGCTGATGTGTTAAAGATACCTCTTTAACACATGCCATCAGAATGACAGTTAAAATAAAGGTTAAAAGTAAAACTCCCCTTTGTACTTCTTTGAGGTGGTTAGAAGACAAATGACTTTTTGAATAAATACGAAGAATACCAATATCAATAAACAGAAGTCATGATTGACTTACCTCAATTTTAACATTTTGAGGGGCTTTTGCCCCTTTCTTTACCAACTGACAGGATCTGAGTAGGCTTAATTTTGTAAAAATGATATCATTTGTTTTTGTTGGGATGGAAGAGCATGGAAGAATTATGATCATGAAATCACAAATTCTTAAAGCAGCAAGGAATTAAAAGAATCATGACCTTTCTTTTCTCCACTTTGAAGCCAGGCATAATAGACGCCTATCAGTAACATCACTCGTTACAGGCCATTAGGGGGTGTGATCTGAAAGTCACCCTTCCCCTGTCACCTCACCTTCAATTTCAGAATGACTCTCCTAAGGGACCATCCACAACAGGTTCATTTACAGATAATGGAACTGACACTAGGCAGTTAAGTGAATTGTCTAAGGTTTCATGACTGTTATTCACTATCAGGCCCTGAATGAGGCAAATATTTGAGCACAAACCAGACAAATTTGAGCTTTCAAAGAAGCAGTGTAAACAAAAGAGTAACAAAACAATAACAGCAACAGAACAATTTTAAAAATGATGACAATGACTGTAAACATCAAACATATTTATATAATATAAGCCAAATATTACCATTAAAACTATTTTAAAGCATTGGTGTTTCATATGAGCTTGTAAACATGGGCAAAGAAAAAAAAGGCAATTTTAGTTTTAAAAAATATTTTGGACCAAGGGAATAGGAAGAAAATCCATTCCAAGTCTATTCAAATGATCGATGCATTCTGCATTTCCCATAGCATGCTTTAATTCCTCATGCTTTAGGTATCTCGAGGGAAGAGCTATATATAGACTTCAAACAAGAAATGGACTCAAAGATACAGAGAACATTTCGACAGTTGCCAGATGGGAGGAGAGCTGGTGGGACGGGTGAAAAAGGTGAAGGGATTAGGAAGTACAAATCGGTAGTTACAGAATAGGCATGGAGATAGATGCAAAATACAGCATAGGGAACATAGTTAATAACATTGTAATTACTATGCATGATGTCAGATGGTACTTGACTTATCAGGGTACTCACTTTGTAAGTTATATCAATGTCTAATCACACTGGGTTATGAAACCAATATAATATTGAAGATCAACTGTAGTTAAAAAGTTAAAAAATAATTTTAAAAAAAGAACCCCAGTTACCAGGTATAAGACCTTATGTTGCCAATTACTAAGTAGTACCATGAGCTGATAATTTTCATATAGACATTTTTTCATCAAGGTACCAGCAAGTATAAGAGATACTTGCTGAGTATCTGAGAGATACTGAGTTCTTATAACTAAATTGACAGTCTATGTGTAGGATAAAATATTATTAGATTAATATTAGATTAACTGTTTTTACTAATAGTTTGAAAATTTAGAAGCAGCTATGTAGTTATGGAGGGAATTTCACTAAAGCAGCAGGAGATAATTCAATCTCAAGGACTTAAAGCTATGTCTTCCACCAAGAGCAATTTCAAACTAACTGCTAATCTACTATATATGACAATGACTCCCAGAATTTTTAATTTTTTTTCTCTCTGAAATGTTTCATAAATATTTTCCAGACAATTGGGGGGAAATCAGAGTTATCAGAATTCTCAATGCCTTTTTTCTTACTTCTGAATCCAATTGTTCTTCGCACTCATTTTGGTACTTGCTTCCAAGTCCATACCATTAGTTAAGTCTCGAACAATGATAAATAAAACACTCCACAGCCATTCTACA